AAATGGATGAAGGGCTTGAATAAATTGAAAAAAAAAATATATATATATATATATATATCATATTCGTAAGTTATATAGATATACTTAAAAGGAAAAAAAAAATTCTAAGTATAATGTTCTCTAATATAAATAAGAGATTCACTTTTTAACTCAAAGTTTTTAAAACATTAAAAAATCTAATTTAAAATATTTTAAAGATAAATTTTTCTAGAAATTTTTTATGTATTTCAAAAGCCTTTCTTCGAAATATAACAAGAATAAAATGATTGGCTTTAAAAAGTGGTAAAAAATAATTTTCGTTATAAAATCATTTTATAGTATGGATTTCATCATGTACCTTTTTTTATGTTAAGAAGAAATAAAACGATGAGATGTAAAAAATTACATCACATCTATGTTCAAAATTTTAAAAATATATGTAATGTGAAAATTATTTTGTATACTCACTTCTCTATGTTTTTCTAAAATTTAAAGATTAATAGTAAAATTATTAAGATATGTGTAAATTTTATTACAAATCAGTTATGTTTATAATGTTTTTACGAAAAAATTCACTAAAAATAAGAAATATCAAGAAACTAAGTAATTAACAGAAAATTAGTTAAGAATAGAAAATCCTAACAAAAATTCCTAAAAGATTAGGAAACTAAAATACTAGGAATAGAAAATCTTAAGAAAACTAATAAACTAAAGATAATAAATTAAAATAATAAAATAGGAAACTAAAATAATAAAACCTAAAATAGTCAAATAAACTTGAACTAGTAAAGTGTGTAGCATTTCCTCATGAATTAAGTTCATTATCAGAGTTTTATGATTGTAAAGAAAACTTGTCAGTTAGATATTACTCAAAAATATTAACAATACTAAAAATATTAAAGATATTTATATTGACAAGATTAATCTTATAAGTATTATAAGCAATCTTCAGAAGAATCTGAATAATTATTTTATTTTTTTGTCATTCAATTATTGTAAAAACCTATAGAAAAATTATGTTTGTGAAGATGAATTATCGCTAAGTACTTTTTGTAAACAATTTAAGATATTTATATCGATCAACAACTATTTTATAACATAAATTTATATCTTTTACGTTTTACTTAATTTCTTGATGAATTTTTTATATACGATCGATAAATTCTTCTATTTTAAGATAGAATATTGATAGAGGGAATCAATGGAATCAAGTTTGCTATATATTTTAGAGTATTGGTGTAAAGAACTCCACAAAGGAGTTTCTTGATAGAACCATTAGACATGTTGTTACAGGCAAACTCGATCTACAAAAGGGTAGTATCTTATTGACTCGGCTTATTCACTAGTCTGTGAATGTATTATTGTATTTCAAATAAGTATCGAATAATCTCTACAACATCATCCAAAAATAACTTACACTGGGAAGAAGTTATAGAATGAGGAACACCATGAAAACAAACAATTTTCCAAAAGAACAAGTAAGCTGCATAAAAGGCATTTGAAGTTTCTTACAATGAAGAAAGTAAACCATTTTGGAGAAATAATCAATTACAACAAACACCAAAATCAATGCCTTGTTGAGTCCATGGTAAATCAAGAACAAAACCCATGGTCAAATCTTGCCAAATTGTCTCAGAACAGGCATAGGCGTAGGCGTGTAAAGATTGGTACTTTGAGCTTGTCTCTTGGCTTTCTAACAAATCAGACATCGTTGAACATCACATTTGATATCTATTTAAGTTAAAGCCAGTAGAATCTATGTTCCACCAAAGTAATTGTCTTGTCTAGGTCAGAATGCACTCCTAATTATTCAACGTGCAATTCCTGAATTATAATTCAACAAAAAATACCAAGGGTAACTCTATAGTTTTGAAATAAAAACCCATCCTGAATCACGAAATTAGTAACAAATTCCCTATAATTGCATCTTGCTCAGACATTACTAAAATCTTCATCATTAGTATAACTATCCTTCAAATAATCAAACCCCACAATATTAGTACTAACTACAGCTAACAAAGAGGTTCATCGGACTCCATATATCAATTACGTTATTATGTTGACCAGATTTATACTCAAAAACAAAAGTGAATTTTTGTGAGAAAGTAATTCAACGGGCATGCATCCTATTTACTATTTTTAGGAGTTTATGAACTTTAAAGGTTGATGATCCATAAATAAAACAAACTCTCATTAGATCAAACAGTGCTTATAATGCTTTAGAGCTCGAATTACTGTATAAAACTCAAGTTCATAAGCTAGTCCACTTTTCATGAGGTTTACTAACCTTTTCACTATAGAATTCCACTCGACAATCTTCTTGAGACAAAACAACTCTAATTCCTAATGTTGACACATAACCAGTCAACTTCAAAGACTTTCTCAAAACTTGGAAGCACCAATATGGCTGCATACCCAACTTTGCTTTGGTCAGAGCAAACTTATCTTGTCTTTTTTCCCATTCGAACTAGCCTTTTTAAGCCATGGAAACTTTGTACCTAGCACACTGTTTAAGGGGCTGGTCTTTCTTATATTGCCTTTACTTTTCTATATCCAAATGTATACCATCTTTTCCCACAACAAAATATGTAAGGCTTTATGATATATATATATATATATATATATATATGTGCAATATGTAAGTTTGTGAAGTGTCCTTCAGCTGCTAACTTGACTTTATGGTCGAGAAAAGCTTTGTTGGCTTCAACAAGGATTTCATCACCATGGATGAGTAACTTATGGCAGTACCAAGCCAAGAATAATCTGCCTTGTTAAAGAACTGAGTTGATTCAGGTGCATCGTTGTTTTCTCCTGCATCATCTGGCAACTCCCATTCTGGGTGTCTTCTTCTCATTGCTTCCTCTTTGTATTCTTCTCTTTGGTACTTATCATAGCACTGTTGCCAGTTTAACCAGTTTGTGTCAGACGTGCAATTAGATTCAACAATTATATATGTTATCTTTGATATAGCAAGTTTATGTCAGTTTAGCAAGCCTTACATTCAATATGGCAACTCCCGTTTGATCTAAGGGGCTGGACTTGGGGAGTTTCATTATACTTTCTATAGTATTCACAATCTCTATTAGATATAACAATTTTTACCTCTCTCTCTCTCTCTCTCTCTCTCTCTCTAGTTATCTTTTCAACCTCATTAATAAACATTTCTAAGGTGTCTATTGATTGAGATTTTTCAGCAAACATAATCGTAATATGAAAAATCATCAACAAAGCATATATGAGTTTAGAAAAAAAGGCATTGTGCTTCTTGGCTGCTTGTTAATTATGCGATTTATCTCGTTATCTTTAATACAATCGACACAAATACTGAAATCAGTACAATTTAAATAAAAAAATATATATTTTTATGAGTTTTTGTATTCTTTCGTAGATATGTGACCAAATTATTTATGTCATAATAAGCAGAGGTTTCACCCACTAACAATAAATATAATAACACACACTAATAATTTACATGAAAAAATAAGGACCAAAATGCTTAACAAGACAAGCAAAGAGGCATCAAACCTTAATAGGGATTCAGACACCAGGCCTAATATTAGAAATTTCAGCCAATATAGAAAGGTATCAAGAAATAACATATGCCAGTGATTATTTGCTGATAAAAACAAGAGAATGATGCAATGAACATCAGAAATTTGAGAGAGTTGGGAGAGAGAAGTGGAGATAGATTATGGGAAAAATGGAGAGAGTGTTTTCCATTTATTACATCAGAGTATTTATACACACAAGAATTAAGTAATTACAAGATGACCAACTAGCTTTTACAGTACTACACACTATTTTCAACAAATTACAAAACAGTAAGTAGTTAAATATACTCTAATAAAAAGGAGCTGGATAAAAAATGGCCTTTGATAAGTATTTCAACCTGTTGGATGACTTGGGTAGAAGTGGGTTTTGTCAGATGACAAAAACCAGTGGTTTTAATATTATGCGATTCAATTCTTCTTTCATGGATTTGGGGTTCATCTTCATTGCCAGGGCCCCCTAAATTGTCTTGGCCTTGTTGACTTCTTTCCTTTTGCCTTGCCCTTGAAGTGCCAAAGAACTGGACTGGATTGAAATTGATGAGAATGAACAGTGCTGGGTTGAGCTTATCAGAAATAATAGAAGAAATGGGTTATGGACTTAAGAGGAAACACAGCAATTTGAGTCCATAGAAAGTAAAGAATCTGATTTTTCTACTGCATATTTCCCATTTCTTTTTCTATCTTTATTCTCTTTTTTCTTTCAAGCTTTAAGGGTATTAAAAGTATCAACTATTAAGATAATGCATGTTCAAATAAATCTCCCTTTTGTTTCGGAAATAGTTTCCGCACATAATAATTGATAAGAATGTGGGTGCACACTCGAGAGAATACGTATCACTTTCTATTCTAAAAAAGATCGAACACATCTAATTCGAGAAATAAAATTTAGTAATTAAACTTAAAAGAACTTTGACATCTTACTAATTTTTTTCATGTTCTAATCAAAGATAACTCATATTAAAATATGTAACACACTTAAAAAGTTCATATAAGATCAAAATTCCAAACTAAGCATACATACTTCTTTATAAATCATCATGTCTTCCATTTTCTTCCTTTTTTTCCTATGCTAGCTTCTATTACTTTTTAACTTTTGATGCAAATAGTTTTTCAAATTATGATCGAATGAAATAGTTAATATAAATTAAATACTTATAATTTTGTCAAACTAATGCACGTGTTCTAACAGCAAC